GCCGCCATGGTCGTCATCTCCGCCATCATCATCGTCTCCTCCGTGGTCGTCGTCGTCGCCATCATCGTCATCATCATCCCCGCCATGATCATCACCGTCATCACCACCGTGGTCGCCGTCATCATCGTCATCTCCGCCGCCGCCTCCTCCATGCCCAGGATCGCCAGGTATAGCAACTCCCTTCGTAGAGGTGTGTCCAGGAAGTGTAACTCCATTAACCGACGACGGGGGCTTCTCAGGCTTCTCAGGCCAGGGATAGCCGAGGGGGTTGGCCGAGGGGGCAGGCAGGCAGATCTCATCAGGGACAAGGCAATCCGGGTTGCAAAGATCAAGCGAGATGCATCGCCAGGCGGGGAAACTGGTCGTGGTGACATCGCCGTTGATGGTAGTCCGGGTTGGGACGTCGATGGACAGCCAGGTGACACTGGTGGTCTTCAAGCTTCCATCTGTCTTCTTTCCGGCCAGAGGCTCGACGGTGATGGTGCCGAAAGGCGGGACAAGGGCAGGATTGGAAGTTTCTGTGGGCTGGGAACTTGTTGATGCAGCGGAAGCCTTGCTCGACGTCTTCTCTGATCCGGTTGTAGGCACGGATGAGTTTGTCTGGGATGGAAGAGTGCTCGATGCAATGGGCGAGGCAGAGGGAGCAGTCGTGCTAACTAGGGCAGGAGTTGTGGTTTCCGAATCGATCATTGAGGATGGAGAGACTGAAGGCTTGGGCTGAACAGACGACCTTGAGACACCCAAGGAGATTGAACTGTTGGCAGATTGGAATTCACCAGAGTTCAGAGTCGACATGGTAGATCTCGAAGGGGCTGAGGTATTGGAAGAGAGGTGGCCGACAGATCTGAGGGTCGTCATGGTGGAGTTGATCCAGATGGGAATGCTCCTTGTTCTGGTTGTTGATAGCAGAGAGCTCGTGGTTGAGTTCTTCCAGATAACAGTCTGAGATGTGAAGGTTCCACCAATACCGCTACCTGGTCCAGTCCAAAAGATGCCAGACGCCGTAGTAGTATGCTGGACACTTGTCACATTGTGACTAGGGAACAAGTGAGTCCAAGACGACGAGACAATGCCGGTGCCATCGATTGAAGTCGTAAAGTTTCGGACGGACGAGGCCATGCTGTTGAAGAAGCTGCTGAGAGCAGAAGAATTGGACAGCGTAGCAGAAGGAGCGGTGACAATCGGGCCTTCAGAAGTCGTGGAATCGTAGAGAGTGTAGACCTCAGTGTACGTGGTAGGGACCCAGGTGGTCTTTCCACAGGCACAAGGGCAGACAGAGGAAGATCCATTGTTGAACTTGAGGGCGGCGGTGCCGGGCGTCAAGTTCTCACAGGCACACTCGAGAGCGGTAGTGACGGTCGGGACGGATTCTGCAAAATATTATCAGCTCATTGTCAATCGCCACGAGGACATTGCAAGAAGATAAAAAGAAATAACGGGATCATTGATGATTATACTTACGGGCGAGAGTAGGGGCGAGCAACGGGAACAGCAGCAGAGCCCAAAGGACTCCGGGAGCCCAATGGAGCCGGGCGGCGGCCATCCTCACTGTAGACGACGTTAGATAAATATCAAACAGTTGTCGAGCTCAACGAAGACTTACTGGCAGTGGGATTGAAGGCAAATGACTGAATGCCAGAGGACGGGAGTGAGGTTTGGGGGATTTCGTAGATCGCAAGTGTTTGGCAAGTCGCGATGGGTTGAGTTGGTAATGAGCGGAAGAGGGGTGAGGAAGGTGATGGAATGAGAATAGAAGAAAGAAACAAATTGGATTTCCTCCAGCTTGATTGTTGTGCGAGAAATATTCGAGGCCTCGGCTAAGACGAATACAAAGGATGAGGTGGATGAATATACCATAGACCCGTTCTTCATTCAAGGAAGGAGCTTAAGCGACACAGTGAATTTGGACATGATAATTCACCTTTCGTTCACCACCTTCATCCATATCGGGTAACTAGAGAAGATTACCATTACCGGAAGGTGAGACTCAGCAAGGATCAATGTTTCTGAGTTTATATCAGTGTCCTTCAAGTTGTATCACACATAGAGAAGGTTTACATATCTCTGGCAGGTGGTTCAGAGCTTGCAACATCACTTTCAGCCTTTTGATTCTCCTACTTTCTTGCCTGACTGCCCTAGAAGAGACATGACGTGGCATGATATGATGACGATAAGAATATGCCATAGAAGGTAATTCAATAGGAGTACATGCCATGAAATCTTTGTGGTATTGAGCTTCTGCGCATTCTATTTGGCCCCTCAGTTGAGCTACCAGATAATACTTATCACCACTTGCGAGTGTAGCAAATAGAAGAAGACTATTCGGCATAGGCTAAGATAAGGTATGTTAATGCTACCATTCATGTGTCTCATTGCCTTGATTTAAGAACCCTACACCGAAAGATTCACTTGAATTCCTTTGGTCGGAATCGCTATCACTGTTGGACAAGTCTTTGTCAAGCCGCTTTGTATTACCCAGCTCCATTGCTCTTGCCCTCTGGAAATGGACACCTCATAATAATTTCCAACTCAACAGAAAATGCACATGATAATTTCAGAGATTGTATTCCCTGGAGATGCCAACAATCTCTTCAGAAATACTACTATGAAAACCTCGCAACTACATCAACGGAAAACGGTCTCTACCAACTCAAATTCTGCTCTTATCCCTGGTATCCTTGACAACATCAAACCCGGTCCACCCATCCAACTTCTCCCGAATCTCTTTGGCATACTGCGGAATGCCACCCGCAAAGTTGACCTGTTCAAACGCCTTACCCGGCATCGACCCACCCATATACGTCGACCGTGTCGTCGGGAACAAGCTCGCGTCGCTCAACTCATTGATCCGCTGCTTCCACGCCTTGGTCGCGTCCGCGGTCGGGTTGACGTACTTGATGCCCTCCCGCTCAATCTTGCGGATGCAGTCGGCGATCCAGCGGCCCTGGACCTCGACCGTCGAGGGCCCGTTGCTCAGCAGCGTGGGACCGTGGGGGCCGTACATGTGGAACATGTTGGGGTAACCGCTGACGGTGGTGCCGAGGTAGGTGTTTGCCGCGGCTTTCCATTCGTCTTGGAGGTACGTGTTGTTTATGCTCTTTAGGCCCATGTTTGTCATGCCTCCGGTGGTGATATCCTAAGAAATTCTGTGTTAGCTTTTTGACGAGGTCTGCAACGTTACGCATGCAGGGCGAGGACATGGTACTGATGTCCTTCTCCTTGTGCTTTGTCGCGTTCGACAACACTGGTACCAAATTCCATCCCCTTGCCTGTGCATATAAAGAGAAAAAGACTTACAAAACCAGTGGCAATGGCAACCACATCAAAGTCGTACGTCGTCCCATCCTTCAACCTGATACCCGTCTCCGTGAAGCTGTCAATCTCGTTCTTGCCAATGTCGACAACGTCCACATTGGCCTTGTTGAACTGCTCATAGTAGTTCTGCTCCAAGCAAGGCCTCTTGACGCCAAAGAAATGCGGCATCTTGTCCACCTTTGGCGCCAAAATATCCCTCTTCCTCGCATCCCCAATCCGCGTCCGCACGTTCCTCGCCCAAAAGTCGTACGCCTCCTTGTTTGCATCCGCATCAAACAACATATCCTTGTAATTCCCCAACCAGAACCGGAACCCGCCGTGCTCCCACAGCTGCCGATAAAACGCCTCCCGCTCCTCAGGCGAGTCGTCAAAGGTGTTGCGCTCCACCATGCCGTAGAAGAAGCCACCGAAGCACTTCTCGCGCAGCTGGTAGAGGCGCGGGTACCACTCCTTGCCGATGTTCTGCTCCTGCGCCGTGAGGTTGCGTTTGCCCATCGGCACCGCCAGGTTCGGCGTGCGCTGGAAGACCTTGAGCTCGCCGCTCTCGCCGACGGCTTTGCCCCATTCCTGGCAGATTTGGACGCCCGAGGCGCCGGTGCCGATGACGGCGCAGCGCTTGCCGCGGACGGGTACGTCTTCTTCGGGCCAGAAGGAGGAGTGGTGGACTACGCCCTTGAACTTTTCGACGCCGGGCCAGTTGGGAATGTAGCGTTTTGAGGCCTAGAGTTTTGATGGTGAGTTCATGGCCGACGTGAGGAGTGAGAAGGGGGTTTGACTTACGAAACCGGCTGCGACGACAAAGTACTTGCTCTTTGCCAGGCGGCCGTCGGCAGTCTTTACGTGCCATTTGCCTTCGTCTGGTTGGAATTGGGCGCCGGTGACGACGGTATCGAATGAGCAGTCTTTGGAGAGATCCAAGACCTGCGTGACTTATATCTTAGCTTTTGTTCAGGTGTATCCCTTGGAATTATCTTGTGTGGACTGACCTTGTCAACGTGATCAAAGTACTGACGAAGCTCCTGGTAATTGGGGTAATTGGTTGACCACGTCCAGTCCTTGAACACCTCGGGCCACGAGAACTCATACTCTGGGACCTCTGAGTCGACTCGGGCACCGGGGTAGCGGTTCCAACGCCAGGTTCCTCCGAACGAGGTTCCGGCTTCGTAGATGACTGCCCGTAGGCCCATCTCCCGGAGAGTCTTCAGCATAAAGACTCCGCCTTTGATAATCATGTTAGTCTTTGAGGGTGATCACTAGGTAAGATTTGCGGTTTGATCACTCACCAAATCCACCGCCTACGATGAGAACATCTACATCGAGGTTATCGGCGTAGGGCCCGTCTGTCTGACGACGCTTGGCATAGTCCCTCAGATCGGTCGCAAATTTCTTTTGCTGGGTAGCTGTAATCGTAGCCATGTCTGGAATTTGCAATATCAAATTCTCAGAAGTAAATGTCAAACGAGGATAATAATGATATGAAGGGTGTTGAAGCACGATGAACACTGCTCTTTCGTCCAATTTATTCAATTTGCACACAGAGTCGAGGGAGTTCAATGCTTCTTATAGCCTCGTGTGACGACATACTGAAGTCTACCTTATCCAGTTCGTTTCGCATGAGACGTGTTGCTTTACGTGACATCAGACGACTACAACGGGTATCCCTAGAGCATCCCCAGAGCACTCCCATGGGGACACTGTACTCCAACATCATGTACGGATACCTTGGAAGAGGCAACCGCAGTTACATTCTCCGCACCAACGTCTGCCCGCATTCGTGGCATTGCACCGATATCCCCATCAGAGATACTGCTATCGTCCGTGGAGGGGCCGCAGACGCCGAGGCCCTCAGAGCAACGTTGGACGCATAAGGCCGCAGCAGATAGATGCTCTCTATCCTGCATCACCCGGCGAGGTTGTACTCACCTCAGACATGCAGCAAAACACGTCGAAGTCCGCATATCATTTCCCCTCAAACACTCAAACACCAGCCTCGTCGTCGCGTCTGCGCATCCCCGCATCACACCGAAGGGAGGAGAAGACTTCGAAAGGAGGAGCCGCTGCGGATCCGCCCTGCAGGCAAGGCGATGAGCGGATACTGGATGGAGGAGGATTCAGACAAGACGGGATGTCACAGTGAAATGCGGAGAGCCGCTGCGGCCGTGGAGCGGATCCGCAACTGCCGTGACACTACTGTTCTCACAACCGCTTTGCGGGGAAGGCCGAACTCTCAGATTCGCATCGTGGGGAGGGAGGGATGGTCCATGTCTTGAGCCGAGTCAAACTTGGAGAAGTTGATCTGCCCCCAAGTCCGGAACAGGTGCCGTTCAAAGTGTGTGCTGGTGGTGGTGGTGGTGGTGGTGGTGGTGGTGGTGGGCCGAGGTTGGACGCGGTTCGAATGACTAAAGTACTAAGGTTTGCATCTATTTCGTCAACTTGCGTGCGTTGCGTTCTTGTTTGGGCCTGCAGCTGAGACGATGGGTCCCCGTATTTAATGCTACCGCACCGACATGACTGCTTTGGAAAAGGATAGGCACAGATTGCCAAGACGAAGCTCGGCCGAATTGATCATCTCTGTGATCTTCTTGTGTGTCTGCTGTGAAATCTGAACTCACTCACTCACCCCTCCTTCCTCACATGAGCCGTTCATCTCATTTATCTTCACACGCCATCTCACTCACACCATAGCAAACTTACATACTCTCACACTCAAAAATGCCTCTCTCATCACAAGCAGTCAACGAAATCAAAGGCATCGTAGACAATGCCGTCACAACCTCCCCCACCGGCATCCCCGGAACAACCGTAGTGGTCATCGACCGCACCGGCACCGAACAATTCGCCCATGCCGCTGGCACCCGGGGCGTCGACTCTTCGGAGCCCATGACCCTGGACAGCGTGTACTGGATCGCCTCGTGCACGAAAATGGTGGTCGGCATCGCGTGCATGCAGCTCGTCGAGAAGGGCCAGCTGAGCCTCGACGACGCGGACCACCTGGAGAAGCTCTGCCCGGAGCTGGCCGATATCAAGGTCCTGACGCCCGAGGGCAAGCTCGTTGACAAGAAGCGCGGCATCACGCTCCGCATGCTGCTGACGCACACGGCTGGGTTCGGGTATACTTTCTTCAGCGAGCGGCTGCGCGATTGGAGTCTGCCAGCGGGGATTGATGAGTTCTCGGGAAGTGTGAGGGATATGGTGCAGCCTTTGTTGTTCCAGCCGGGTGAAGGCTGGGAGTATGGCGTAAGTGAAGTAACAATTGTTGAGACGATGGCCTCTAATTCGGAATTGTAGGTCGGCATTGACTGGGCTGGCATCGCCCTGGAGCGGGCCACGAACATGAGTCTGAATGACTACATCCAGGCCAACATCTGCCAGCCTTTGGGCCTCAAGAACGTCAACATGATCCCGACGCCCTCGATGAAGGCGCAGTTGGCGTACATGCACTACAAGCGGCCCGACGGCAAGTTGGTCCACAGAGACCACCCTCTCCATCGCCCGTTGATCGTGCAGTCAGAGGAGGAGATCCGCGCCTGCTTCAACAGCGGCGGCGCCGGCATTTTCGCAAAGCCTCAAGAATACACCCGTACGTGCTACGCCTCTTGTCGGAACCATGCCAAACTATCAGAGGACTAATTGAATGATTCTCTACAGGCATCCTGGCAGTCTTCCTCAACGACGGGACCTGTCCCATCACAAAAGCCCAAATCCTGAAAAAGGAGACGGTAGACGAAATGTTCTCTAACCAAATCTCAAAGTTCCCAGACTTTGCCCGACAGGGCGTCCAGGCTGCGAAACCGGAGCTGACCAACGGGATCCCGGAGCTCTACCCGATCCCGGGCAACCCGCCGCAGAGCTGGGGCCTAACGTTTATGATCACGGGCGGGCCGACGGGGCGCTCGAGCGGGACGGCGTGGTGGGCTGGGCTGCCGAACCTGTTCTGGTGGTGCGACCGGGAGAACGGGGTGGCCGGGATCGTGTGCTCGCAGATTCTGCCGTTTGGCGACGCTTCGGTCATGGGGCTCTGGGCGCAGGTTGAGGCTGCTGTGTATAAGGGGCTGAGTGCGTGATGTCTATGATGATGAACGATTCTCAGAATCTCAGTCTAAACACTGTGTTTCCGCGGGTTCGCGTCGTCTTCCTACTGATGAGGCTTGTTTCTCGTCGGAATTTTCGGAAACAGATTTCCATGTATGGATGATTTCCTATTGGCCCCCTTTCATCAGAATGAAGCTAGTAATATGTGAGAAGGTCTTGAACCAATTCCATTGCCAGAGACTCAGTGCATGAGGGATGTCCAGCTCGCCATTGGCTTACCCAGGTGCCTAGGTAGGATGCAACTGCAAGACGACCTCAAAGTGGGCTGATTTTCCCATAAGGAACGTCCTGACGGTTGAAGAATGCAGCCAACAACATGGTAAGCTTCAAGAACGTCTAACCAAACCGTTGGATCCCTTGAACCTGTGCCTCGTAAGGTTCACCGAAAGCAATGGAATCCGGGGTTGACAGCTCTCGCTTCCGGAGGATGGGGAAGCCCCCTCCCTTTCTTTTCCCCGGATCCCATCCCAACCCTGGTTCCCCCAGACCAGCCAACACCGGACTTGGCAACCGGCACACACCAGAGACGGAATCTCCTCGCAGAAGAAGAAGAGGATCTGCGGGGGGAAACATGAACCAACTGGCAAACTCACCGTATGCACCCCGCTTTCTTTTCCCTTGCTGACGCAGGCAACGCTAGAGTCTAAGAAAAGGTGAGAGAAGGGGAAAAAACGCGGGGTTTTGGCGACAGGGACCTCCCCGTGACGACGTCGTTTCGGATGGCCGGGGGATTTGACTGGTCACGAGTTTTGGAACTAGCGGGGATTTTTCTTTGTTGGGGCCTTGAGGGGGGCAAAAAGAAACTGGAGACAGCTGGAGGACCACACCCACCCCTTCTTTTTCAGCTTCGATTGTCTCGAATCTCCGCCTCACAACCTGGCTCAACCTCCACATTGAAATCTCATCTCACCTCGCCTTGACACATACCCACCGAGCCGTGTGAGAAGCATCACGATAACCGACGATACGCGAATGCGATGAGGCGGCAGAATAGCAGCTGCGACCAATGTCGCAAGGGCAAGAGGGCCTGCGACGCGGGCGCCCTCAAGGATATCCAGCTGTGTCTGGATGCAGACCTTCAATGGGAGGTTGGTAGGTAGCACAGAGTGAATTGAGCAATGAGACAACGAAAACACTCTCTCTTCAACCCCGGGACTAATTTCTTGATGAACAGACTGGCAGAGCATGAACGGGCCGTGCTCAAACTGTTCAAAGACGCGCAAGTCGTGCACATTCAACTGGGCCCGGTCACAGCAGGCCCAGCTCCGGGTCCGAAGGCAGTCCGCCGAGAAGACCGCTGCTGCTGCCGCTGCCGGCTCCGCCTCCGCTTCCGCCGCGCCGAGTCGGAAGAGGGTCAAGTCAACTCACTGCAAGAAGGTCAACAACGACAGCAGCAACAGCAACAAAGCCTCTGTATCGCCAGCATCCCAAGGTCCATCAGGTCTGAGTGAGGCCCAACTCGCCGAGCTTCAGTCGCTCATCCCGGATCATGTCGCATCATTCACCCACGAGACGCCAAGCTCACATGCCTTTGGCGGAGCAGCAGCAGCAGCAGTAGCAAACGACTTTGGATTTCCCCAAAACCTATTCACGCTATCCCCCGCCGACGAGCCCCTCACCTTCGACCCATCCGCCGACGACGCCGCCTCGCTCCTCTTCCCGGGCCCCTCATCCCTCTCAGCGCCCAGCTGTCTCTCAGATGAGTTGCCAGGCTTCGACGACGCCGATCTCGTCTCCATGCATGGCGCCTCGACCATCAGCCTCAGCCCGGACTCGACTTGTTCGCCCATGGGCATCGACCCGAATGCCCGCAAGAGGGCGTGGCAGCAGGCGCACGCCATGAACTATGCGCCACCTGGTGGTGCTGGGATCTCAGAGTACTCGGCCACGCAGGCGATGATTGCGCGGACGAATCAGACGCTCATGACGGATAACCTTATGAAGCTGTACCACGACGTCATGGAGGGCGCGCTCTCGTGCTGGCTGGTGGAGCAGAACTGTCCCTACATCCTAACCCCCACACAGCTGGAGCGCTCGAGTCTCGGCGACGCGCGAGGTCACGACCCGACGCAGATTCATCTCAATCTGCCCAACAGGATTTACCGCCGCGTCTTCAAGCTCGATAAATCCCTCGCCTCGCTGGGTCTGAAGCCGCTCAGCGTATCCGAAGACCGAAAGGCCACGAGAGCGCTACATCTCGCCATCATGGCATTCACGGCGCAGTGGGCACAGGGAAGTCAACGGAGTCAAGCGCGGTACCAGAAGCCAAACGGCTTCGGGGACTCGTCCGTGCCGGGGACCGAACAGGAATTCGACACGGCGCTGCAGATATCATTTTGGAACCAGGCGCAGCGGTGTCTGGACGACTGCGCGGGCGTGGACTCGTTCAAGGTGGCCATGGCGGAGCTCCTTTTTGGCCTCACGCAGAAGAACCAAGAGAGCGCGGAGGGGATCGGGTGGGAGTTTAGCGAAGGGATGGTTGGTCAGAGTCAGCTGGGGTACGATTACACCAACGGAGACGGGAACGACTGGGAGACGCCGGGGACAAAGGAAAAGGTGCAGACGGCGCTGGACGAGGAAGGGTACTCGCTCTACGTCGAGCGCGGCGCCCGGCGCCTGCACGTTCTCAAGCGCAGGTCTGAAAACTTTGAGAGGAGGAAGAAAGTAAAAGCACGCGGGGCCGCCAACGCGAGGACCGAATCAGGATGGGCTGTCGGCGGCGGAGAAGATGCTCACGGCGAAGAAAAAGCGACGATGAAGATGCTCTTCTGGCTCGCCATCATGTTCGACACCCTATCCTCCGCCATCTCCGACAGACCGCCCGTCGTCTCAGACGAAGACAGCCGCGAGACAGCAACAGCAAAGAAGCAAGACTCACCGCCCTGCAAAGACGAAGACGACGACACCATCCCGGTAGCGATCCCATCCCCAGAAAGCTGGAACGACCAATTCATCATCAAACGCAACCAGAAACTCGCCCCTCTCCGCTGGCCCTGTCCAACGAATATCTTCGAGCGCGAACTCCGCGACGCAGCCCCCGTCAAAGTCCTCCTCTTCCGCAAAATCACACGCATCCAAGCCCTCTCCTCCCGCGGCTCCGCGTCCCCAAAGTCCATCGAGGACGCAATCCAAGACGGGCTGGCGGTGTACCGCCACTGGAACATGATGTACGGCCCCC